GTCCTGCAAGCTTACGCGTTTCTCGACGATCTTGATCCCCAGTTCATAAGGGTTGTCGCACCCAGGGGGTTTCAAAGCTTCGCTCCCGGTGCCCTGTTACAGCAATCGGACCTCCTTCCCTGTAGAGAGCAGGGAACGAGGCTACGTAGCACCGTGTTCGCGTTCGGAGGCGAACGTGAACAAGCGCCCAAAACCCTCCTAACGCGAACATTGCCGAACAACATGCACTTCGTGAAAAGTGGACATTTTGTGAAAACTGGACCGGAGCCAAAAACTTTACGTTGATTTTTTAACGAACTAGTTTTAGGGCAGTCACACAGGCCATTGTCACAAACATCAGGGCATAAACCTATATTCTTGGTCAAACAACGAGACAGATGAAACAATAAAAAAGCAAAACAACATGTTATTGGTAATACATCCAAGTTGCGGGTCCGCTTTGCATAAGAAATTTTTTTTTTCCGGCAGTCATATTCACAAGTCCATAGTAAGTGAGGTAATCCAACAACATGCTTATCGAAGGAAAAACAAATAAGCAAACATTTCAATAACCAAAACAAAATATGAACGATTGTAAAAATAAATTGCAAGTACACATAAGAAAACAATTTTTCGTAACAAATTATGCTGCATTTACAAGAAAATTTTAATTTCAAATGTGCGGAGGTAAGGAGCACGAGCAAGAAATGTCATAACAGATACAATAATAAATAGTAACATTGCAGTCTACTTTTTCGAACTCCTAAGTGAGGCAAGAGATACATTTTCGTCCTCATTTTCCTCTCCATTAACTGCGCCTATATAGTCTGTAGTGTCAATTTCCTCCAAGGTCTTTGTAACTGTGTCTAGAGGATTTGTATACAGTCCTCGGTCTGCTTTCAAGCGGAAGTTATAGCACAAAACTCCACAGTCCCATGCAAAAGTTTGTTCTATCGGTCTGCCTGTCACACGTCCTCGTGAATCCGTATAGTTAAATGAAATATATTTACCATTTCTATTTTTCGCATACCAGTGACCTATAAACTTCTGCTCCTCTAAGACTCGTTTTACTTTCACTATGAAATAAGGCTTTCCATGCTCCTCTTGGTCTCTCCTTGCCCTAACAGCCACAAATGTACCCTCCTTCACGTCCTCGAAGCCTCCTCTTTGCTTATGAACTCTAAACGTCTTTCTATACCCAACATACAGTGGCCTTTCAGGAGGATTGATATCTCCACGTATCATCTCAGCGTCTGGAGGTCTGTCGGCCGGCATGTTGGAGCTGTTCGAAACGGAGGAGTCGCCACGTGGCCAAACAAATGGATGCTGCAGGCATGTTGTGTCGAAGTCCATATTCTCTTGTTCAGCGAGAAAATGTTCTCACCATGCAACGGCCTCAGCATTGGTATATTTGGAAAATGCTTTCACATTTTCACGTATTCCCGCCAATGATAAAGTTTTATCGATACTTCTTTTCTCCTCGGAGGCTTTGATCCGCTCATCCATGCTTCACACAACATGACGTGGAGCTGCATGCACACTTCCGTCCGGAAATGCCTTGAAGATATCCAATCCATAGGTATCTTGCGGGTGCCATAACGATGTATAAAACTGCCTACTCCAAACAGCAACAGTTCCAACAACATTTCTCTTAATACGAAAGTGTTGATTGAAACTGATATCATGAAGAGGTGCCAAGTGATCCTTCACATAAGTTTTCCAGTCGTAAACTTCAAACACCCGCTCAACATGGACACCTGCATATTTCGTATACGACTGTCTGATGACCGTCTCCAGTGTAGGCAAGTCATAAGCATTTTCACGCGCAAGGGCTCTAGAAAAGCAGCTGAACATCTGATCAATATTCTCATGTGTGTGACCCACCAAAAGGAAGTTGAGCTTGATTTTCTCAAAAACCTTCATGTGGACTAAGTACACAAGGTACGCCAAAACGAACTTGTTTTTGTTCTCTCGTGATGTGTTGTCGAGAGTCAAAAACAACATCTTCGGCAAAGGTTTTGGCAGATCCGAAAGAACTCTATGAAGCACGGTAAGCATGGAGTTTGAGTCATTGCTAAAGTTGTCGAACATCATTATGGCGTACGCTTTGTGCAAATGTCCTTCCACCTTTGCACCCACGACATGTACCTTCAAGAAGTCCGCCTCCCTAATTCTCGAATCTTTCGGAACACGATGAAAATGAGGAAGATTGGTCTTGCTTTGATCCATCCCGTCAATAATAACGCCTACATACTTCTCCGGTAGCGACTTCGCTTTCAGTCGGCGGTCCATCAATTTCTGTCTCTCCATCCTTTGCGCTTCAAGATGGTAGTCCAACATTCTTTGGAATTCCTCTGCAGCAACAACAAGAAAGACAAAATATGTCATCACAAGGAGGCAAGGTAAAACCGACAACAAAACAAAGAAATCCCAAAACAGGGTAGAGGAAGACGAGGGCAGTATGCAAAATGAGATGCCCACCTTTTTCGATGGGCGAAGTAGCTCTTCCACGCTGCAGCTTTAACTGCGCACATTGGGCGCAAATGGAGAATCTGTTCTTAGCCGGAATGCAAACCTTCGAGCAACGTTCTGTCCACACGCTTGTAAAGAATGAAATTGAAGGGACCACATCACCAGGATACAGGCGGCGGAAATGAGTGACGAAAAATTCATAGACTCCTCTCTTTGTTAGGCAATCGGTGAGATGGAACCTATCAGTGTTTGGCATGGACTTCGTGTTCATGCTGAATTAGGTCTTCATCCACGCGTACACAGCCATGTACCTCACAGATGGGCAATGACTGCCAGAATTGCCATGCAAGTAACCATGCACGTTGTCACGAATCGCGACACACACCCTAGCAACTTGCGTCTTGGATAGTCCATATAGGCGGCCCCATGCAGTCGAGCAAACAAATCGACTCGCGAAAGCGAGACACAATGTTAGCAGAGTGCCATCAGTGTTGTAGGTCGACACCTTTCTCACCTTCTGTATCAAGAACTCCAGTTGTTGCGGCTGTTTCATAGCCCAAAAGTTGCTTCTTACATCCAATACCTCCTCCAAACGGATTGTATCCATGCAACTCCTCACACAACAGCCACCATGGAGAGCCGCACAGGCAGAGGTGGCTGTAATGAGCACACATGCCTTTTTGTTGTGGACACGTCGATTTGCGTTCCTCTTGCCGAGAATGTACTGATGCTTACGCCCGAATTTGGTGTAAATTTCTTTACCCTCACGCCCAGAAACACCATCACCATAGTTGTCTCCATCGCCCTCCGCGGTACAACCAGAGTCTTCGAAATTATTAACGTCAGGAGAAGGCGGAAGATCCTTAAGCTCGAGGAAAGAGAAAACAGGGATGGCGTCGGTCTGCAAGGGCTCGCAGAACACTCTTCTTCTTTCAAGTACCATTGGATCAGAGAACAGACGTTTGATCCATTCCACGTCCACCGTAGCTTGGTCATCCATCACGAAGCATCGATGCACAAATTTGTCGTCAGCAGCAAGGCAGAATCGTCAGGCCCGTCTTGACGACAACAAGAATCACCAGACCACGCACGCGAACCCGTCCCGTCACAACGGCCAATTGATAAACGAAAGAAGGAGTCGGGACACGACAAGCGTGAGACAGAAGTGGAAAAACAGTCTGGACCCGACAGACTTCGGCCAATGACTTCCACACACTCGTCCACCAGCACGGAAGGAAGTCGAAACCGCCGGGCGACACGCCCCTAAACTCTTTGCGAAATCCCGCCCAAGCGGGAGGGAACCTCGTCAAATTGTCGCACACTTTTCACAAATTTTTCGGCACCCGTGTTCCCGCCGAAACTGGAAGGCGAGGCAAATGGACCACACACGGAAAGCGCGCGAGAGGATGACAAAAAACCCAACCAATTCATTTTGCAACTTTGGGACCCCCGAAGAACACGTGGAGGACGCACGGAGGTGACAAAAATTGTCAGGCCCCTCCTGACGATAACAAAGATCATCAGACCACGCACGCGACACCGTTTCGACACAATGGCCAATTGACAAGTGGAAGAAGGAGTCGGGACCCGACATGTGTGAGACAGGAATGAAAAGAACAGTCGGGTCCCGACAAGCTTCAGCGAGTGACTCCAGGTGCCCGCCCACCAGCACGAAAGAAAGTCGAAACCGTTGGGCAACATGGCCCTAAATGTTTTCTGAAATCCCGCCCATGCCCGAGGAAACCTCGTAAAATTTTCACGCAATTCGCACAAATTTTCCGAAACCTAGTTCCCGCCGAAACCGGAAGGCGAGACCGGCAGCAGGGGCGCCAATGAACTTCCCACGAAAAGCGCCCCAGAGGATGAGGATAAAGTCAACCATTTATTTTGCAGCTTGGTGCACCCAAGAACACGTGGAGGACGCACGAAGTCACCGGCTGAACACTCACACGGCGACCCCAAATCTGCAAAACACAAGGATTTCAGAAGGGCCGATTCGAGGTTTCGAGCATGGTTCGAGTCATAGCGATGCACCGTTTCAGACGAGACAAGGGCACACCGTTGCACTGTTTCAGACGGGATCCGGCACCGGGACAAGGCCGGCAGCAGGGGCACGCCGCTCCCCCTCCGCCGCTCCCCCTCCGCCGCTCCCCCTCATCACCACGGGAACACAGGCAGGCCGTGAAGATCACCACCGAAGCCAAACACCAGCAGGCCGCGGCCCGGGAAGGCTTGGGGCAGTTTCAGTTCGGCTTGCCTGTGTTCCCTGCTGTCCCAAGGTTTCCCAAGCCGCGAACGCCATCACGGAAGGCGAAGAAAGGCAGGCCGCGCGGAAACTATCGGAAGTCGTGCCAAGAGGGAAAAAGCGGCGCCAAGAGGGAAAAGGCGGTGCCAAGAGGGAAAAAGAGGCACCGAACCGGCAGCAGTTTGAATTCGAACGGGCAGCGGGCGACGAGGGAGGACCAGCTGCAGCGCGAGAGCCTGGGTGCAAGTGGGAAACCCTGTAGCGGACGCGGGGGGTCTAGAACCGGGAAACAGCAGTAGCGCGAGAGCCTGGGTGCAAGTGGGAGAGGGTTGCCCCAACAAGCGCCGACGAGGGAGGAGCAGCTTCCAGGGAAGGGGAAGGAAGCCATGGCCAGAAGACGGGCGAGAGGACTGCTAGACGCCGAAATGGACGACGGGGGCACCCTCGACCTCTCCCACTTGCTGAATGCCATGGCCACTCGCACCGAGGGAGAGGAAGACATTGAAGATGAGGAGGAGGAGGAAGAGGAGGAGGAAGAGGAGGAGGAAGAGAATGACGGCTCTGGGGATGAGGAAGAGGAAGGGGACGAAGAAGACGCGCAGCGGAACAAGGAGAACCATTCGACGGAGAACGTGTCCGGAACGGTGAGAGTGAACTATCCGCTGGCGTTCAAGTACCTAGAGGAAACATACACGTCAGTGCAAACACTTTTTGAGATGAAGCCGGACTTTGATCTCCTAGGGTGTAAGTGGGCTTTGCAGCCCACACAGCAGGGGTTGTTCTTCTACCGTTATCTGACGAGGGCATGCAAATACGAACCAGTGGGTCTTTGCATTTGGGTTGCGAAGACCACAAGAGTTGAAGACGGACAAGAGGTCCACGTGACGAATCTATGGACAGAAAGGAAGAAGGTAATTGCGAGATATGTCCTACAAAAGAGAGACTACGTATGGGATGCTTTCCAAGACCCGAATGGAGTACTGCATCACAAGCTCCGGACAGCTCCCGACGAGGTAAGACATGTCATCAAGCATATGATCAAGATTGATTGATTCACTCAAGATCTTTGTCCTCTGCAGGTGCGTCTGCGACGCAATTCCCGATTGGAATCGATTACGTAATCGATTCCAATCGGGAATCGATTGGAAACGCGCCTGGAAGGGGTAGTGATCTGCATCACTGCCCCCTCCACGCCCGTTTCTGATCGATTCC